TATGACTTCAGCGGGAGTAGGCTAAACTGTTGTGATCCCTTCCCTCCATATTCAACTTTAATGCACTTCTACTTCGACTGTCACATGTTGTTACTTTCTCTTTAAGTCTGCTCCTACTCCTCCCCTACTTGTTGAAACCGTTAAGAACAGTTTGGGTCGAATGCCACCTCTCGGCTCATTCGCTGTAGCTAGTTGTTGTAGTCTGAACTCACCCCTGCTTCCTCCGTTTTCATCGATTTCTCCCTATTACTCCTACTCTCATATATCTAAGCTTAAGAGCTCCATAGACTGTCACGTCGGCTAACAACATGTGCTCCATTGCGAATTGTTGATTCGAATCAATCAATAAACAAAGAAAAAACAATTATTTATATTTATTATTTTGTATATTTAAATATTCTCTTCTTGGTTTTTTTCATTTTTCTTTTGTCTTAGAAGGGTTTCAGTTGAGTTGAGAGGTTTTCATTTTGAAACGAAAAACTGAAAACCCGGTTGTTCCCTTTTGGAAAGGAGTTCAACTGAGTTCTTGAGAGTCTGATATCGCTTAGTGAACTCTCGTTNTTCAACTGAGTTCTTGAGAGTCTGATATCGCTTAGTGAACTCTCGTTATTATCTGTGCTTGTGTAAGATTTCTTTTTTCTTTCATTTCTGATATCTGATCATACAGGTCTTCTTCTGTTTTCACATCCCTCTATGACTGTTTCTCTTACTGTTGCACCTGTATATCCTTTAAGTGTCCCCACTCTTGATTGATTGCGAATTTTCTTCTTTCTGTTGACGCTTCGCTGGATGAGAAGCAGGACTCCTATGACTCTAACGGGAGTAGGCTGAACTGTCGTGATCCTATGTCTGTTCTTCATTTCCTTCCACCTTGCCTCGCGTTTCCCTTTCACAGTCTTATTATCCTTCCCTCCATATTCAACTTTAATGCACTTCTACTTCGACTATCACATGTTGTTACTTCCTCTTTAAGCTTGTTCCTACTTCTCCCATAGTTGTTCAAACCGTTAAGAACAGTTTGGGTGGAATGCCACCTCTCGGTTCTCATCAACTTACATATCGATTGATTGCTTGTCTGAGCCCTTATGGTGTCGTTTATCCTGTGTCTGGATTCTTATGTTATTGGGTTGTGTTGTGTTCTCAATCTTCTTCTTTCCCTAGAGTTTTCATGTTTTATCAACCTTTTCCTTCATTTGAGCTTTCGCTTTGTCGACTTCT